ATATATATATATATATAATATATATATGTATATATTCTAGTTTGTCCCTTTGTTGAGACCATTTAAATATAAAGTCCTAATTCGGGATTTCAAATGTTGCTGGTGCTTTTGCTGTGGTGGTTCTGATAGTTCTCCAGATGTACTGCATTTCCTCCTCTCTTCTCTGAGCACGACGGCTCTTCCTATATGCTTTTTCTTCCCACATTTTAATCCAGAATAGATGTTGAATTTTACTGATTACTTTCTCGACATTTTTTTGAAATGACTAATCATTTTTTCTAGTAAACGTTAGTTGTTAGTTTTCCATATAATATATTGTACTTGCATTCCGTGAGGTACTGGTCATCATTATAGATATATTTCATTAAATTTTATCGAAACTGTATTTGTCTCATAAAATAGGCTGGGGGATACAGTTTTTTTTTTCTGTATTCTAGTACAGTTGAAATAATATAAGGATGTCTTTGAGGAATTTGGAAAAAAAATCCTCCACTGAATTCAATGGAGCTGAGGATGTTTTTGGAAAGACATTAAAAAAAAAAAAAAGACTCATTTAAAAAAAAAATCAATTGGTGGGGGCGCCTGGGTGGCTCGGTCGTTAAGCGTCTGCCTACAGCTCAGGTCATGATCCCAGGGTCCTGGGACCGAGGCCCACATCAGACTCCCTGCTCTGGGGGGAGTCGGCTTCTCCCTCTCCCTCTGCCCCTGCTTGTGTTTCTGCTCTCACTCTCTCTCTCTCTCTCGTCAAATAAATAAATAAAATCTCTAAAAATATATCATTTAGTTAACATATAGTGTGTTATTAGTTCCAGAGGTAGAGGTCAGTGATTCATCAGTTGCATACAACACGCAGTGCTCATGACATCACGTGCCCGCCTTAATGCCCATCACCCCCCTCCCCTCCAGCAGCCCTCACTTTGTTTCCTATGATTAGGAGTCTCTTATGGTTTGTCTCCCTCTCTGATTTCATTTTGTATCAGATGTCTTCTTTTGATAGTGATCTACTCATTTTTCCTATTTTTTGCTACATTCTTAGCATTATGAATATTTAGCTTGTCATCTGTCTCTGATGAGTCATCACGTTTCCTATTCTGTAGATAAAAAGGGAAGGCCATGGAAAGCATTTCTGCCTGGATCAGAGGTTGGCCTTAACCTCTAGCACTACCTCCACCTTGGGCTAAACCCTCTAGCGGATTGATGAATCTCTTTGTATCTTTTTTCTTACCCCCCTGCAGCATCTTTAAGCCACAATCCTCTCCCTTTGCCTGGCTCTAATCACCTGGGTCTGCCCAGCCCCTCCAGCTCCAACGTTCATTTCCCACAGATTCCTGGCTCCCTCCCGGAAACCGCCCCCCAGTTCACTAAACCACTGGGCTGACCAGGCTCCCACCGGGCCCATAGGCTGGCTGTCCCTGGGGCTGCAGTGAGTGTGTGTGGCTAAGGGCTGGCCCTGGAGCCTCGCGGATGGAGGGTCAGAGCCTGATTCTGAAGCACAACATCCTGGAAACTTTGACAACATAATTTAACCCTTCCAAGCAGGGGGCACCTGGGTGGCTCAGTCAGTTGAAGTCCGATTCTTGGGCCCTTGATCTCGGGGTTGTGAGTTCAAGCCCTGTGTTGGGCTCCATGCCGGAGCTGGAGCCTACTTAAAAATAAATAAATGACCCTTCCAAGCTGAAGTTTTCTCCTCTGTAAATTAAAGACAACAGTAGTGTCCGTGTTCCTGGATTCCGAGGATTCTTTCCGTCATCCGGCCCATCTTTATTAATAGCCCAGTATGTATCCGGCATTGTTTTAGGTAAAGATTAAGGTGATGAATAAAAGAAAAAAAAATCCCTGTGTGCATGGAACTTATGTTGCAGAAGGAGTCCAGCAAACAAACAAAAAAGTACAAACAACTCTATGTACATTTGAATTGTATATCTGTTTTCTCTCTAAACTTGAGGTAGTAAGCATTTACGAATAAAAACAAAGAGAATGGGGGACCAGCTGCTGGAAGTGTGATTTTATTTTATTTTTTAAGATTTTATTTATTTGAGAGAGAGTGTGAGCGAGAGAGCAGAAGCAGGGGGAGCAGCAGAGGGAGAGGGAGAGGCAGGCTCCCCGCTGAGCAGAGAGCCCAATGTGGGGCTCCATCCCAGGACCCTGGGATCACCACCTGAGCCGAACCGACTGAGCCGCCCAGGCGCCCCGGAAGTGTGATTTTATTGGGGTGTCTGTGCGGGCCTTTCTGAGGAGGGACCGTTGGAGGAGCCCTCTGAACGGGGTGAGGGAGCCGGGCATGTGTGTCTGGCAGCGGCATGATCAAGAAGAAAGGCCCTGAGGCAGGATTAAATGAGATGATACAGACAAGGGTCTGACGGTTGCGGTTAAGGCTCGCACAGCTCCTGCCGAGGTCACCGCCACCATGCCCTCAGAGCTGAAGCAAAGGTGCGAGGCATGGACTTCTGACTGCTGTTCCCAGATCCCATTCTCCGGGACCCCGGGGGGAGTGCACAGCACCCAGCCAACCCTGCATCTGCAGCACACGCCTGCCCATTGCACCCTACCCGCCCATGAAGGCTTCCAGAGTCTTCTACTTAGGGGGATTTCAAGGATTGCGGCTACTTTTCCCTCCGTCCCCTAACCAGCACCCAGAACAGCGCTCTGCCTACAGTGTAGACTCTTAGCTGGTGTTGACCTTGGGGTGGGAGCGGGGCTCAGCCCACCGTCCCCTTTCCCCCCCCCTCAGATTAAGAGTGGCCTGATTTTGGCCTGAACAGAAAAAGCAGAAGTGGCCTTGAGGATTTGGGCTCAAATAGGCTCATGGGTCCTGTTCTGGACAGACCTTTGTGGCTCCCCGGGGGCGGGGGGGGGGTAGGCTCCGCCTTGAGGAAGGAGGCCTCTACTCTCTCTTCTTCTAGATCATCTGGCAGACTCACTTCTTCCACTCTGGGTTTCTCCCCCGACACCGTCTGCCCCCAGATTGTCCCCAGCCTCTCCCCATCTCCCTGCTGCTCTTTGCCGCTTCCTCCACGAGCCGAGTCGTGTCACAGCACACTCTCAATACTGCAGTCTGGGAGGGAGGCAAGTATTCAGTCTAGAAATCCGAATTATGGAAGGGCTTTCTTTTTCATAAAGAAAGACAACTTTATTATTTTCAAGTACATAGGTAGTACCTCAAACTAATGTCTTACAAAAGGTCACCAGGTAAAGGTCTTGCAAGTGTTTCTTTAACAAACACATGAGAACTGACGATGATTAGCCCATGCACATGCTACTTCTACATAGATATTCCTAAAGTGCTTCAAAAGTATTGTTTTAAGTAGACTACATATGTCATCCCTAGCAATGTGGTTTATGCTTTTAATTTGCTAAACGAATGCTGTTTTTTTATTGATTGGGCAAAGATAAGCTTTGTCCACAGTCAACAGGTCTCAAATTAATCAGGCCCAAATTAATATGGTTTCCCATTTAGTTTTCCAAGCCCAAAGCAACGACTCACTTATTTTTAAGGTACTTCTGATAAAGTAAAGTTCCAGTGTAGGGAAGTGAGAGCCCACGGGAGCTCGTTCACGGGCCTCCTTGTTTTCTGCCTTAGGCCTTCGGGTTTCCTTAGGTGGCGCTCTCTCTTGGCCCATCTAGGTGTCTCTCTACAGGAACTTCCCAGCTGCCCTCTAGGCCAGGCTTAGAGAAGGGGTAGAGCTGCCTGCAGAGCAAAACTGTTAGGTGGGGAGCGCGTAAGGGAAGGCCAAGTGTCTCCCCTAGGAACCTGAAACCAACTCCCAGTCTTGGAAAGCGGGAAGGCGAGGGGACGATCGCTAACGTGGAGGGCGTTTGCCCGGGAGGGACAGCCCTCCTAACGTCTGCTCTCTCCTTGTCCCGAGGGTCTGACCAGTCTCCTGACCTAAGCTGATTCTGCATGTCCATGGGCGAAAGGAAGGTTCCGGGGACTTCCTCCACCCTGGTTCCAGCGGATGGCCAGGCAATTCCTGGAATGACGCCGGTTCATCAGGATGGGCACAAAGGGGGAAGGGGTGGCGGGGCCAGGGAATGAACTGGCACCTGTCCCTCTGGGAACAAGTCGGGACTTCGAGGACTTAGCATTCTGGAGGGCCGGGTGTCACCAGGCGCAAGGGACCGAGAGTGCTGGAGCCTCTGTGATACCTGGGCCTCGTGGCCCAGAGGACACAAAGCAGGGTCATGGGGACTGCCTGCTGCAGGGGTGTGGGGTCCCCGTGGAGCTCCTGGGTCGCTCTGGCCTGCCCTTGTTGCTACTCTGATGACATTTGAATTTGGTCTGCTGGCAGGAAGCTCTAAAAGGGCAGGACCCAGGGCTGGAGGCCACACATCAGCTGTCCTGTCTCTTGGCACGCTCCTCCCCGCCTCCCGTTGCCGTGTCTGTCCTCGGCCTCCCGACCCCCTGCCCTTTCTCCTCTAAAGGCTCCTAACCAGCCTTGCCTGGGGATGTGTGGCTTCTGCAACCAGCTTCCCTTTCCGGCCCCACACCTGGCACTCCCCAAGAAGAACTGCGCCTGATCCCGAGGGGGAGCAGGGCCAGAGTCGGGCAGGAGGCCAAGGAGGGGTGGGGTGGACAGTGGGGTAAGGCCGGAGACATGAAGGGACATGGGTGAGATCTGAGACGGTCCCCTCCTCCCGGTAGAGACAGGGCCCTGCCTTTGGGTGTTGATCTGTTCTAGTGGGAGGTGGGTGTGCAGGGGCAGACAGTGGGGGGGGGGTTGGGGTAACCCTCAATTCTTCGGAAAAAGTGAACAACAGGACGGAGCAGGTGGAGCGGGACCTGGGAAGGACCCTAGCCTGTGGTGTGTAATCTGGTTGTTCACAGTTGGGTCTGCAAGGCAATCACTCTGAGCTTATTTACCCACTCCTCCCCAACTTAGCCTGCTGAGTGGCCTCACTGTCCCGAACCCTCCCCCAGCACCCCCCAGTCTTCGCGGCATCACCATCCCTGCACCGCCTCCAGGCGCCCTGGCCCCGAGCCTGGTCCTTCCTCGGACAGCTCAGTAGTATGTCTCCTTCTCCACCCAGCCTGTGGGAGAGATGGCGGGGGGGGGGGCATGTTGTGAGCTCATGGTGCGGGGAGGGGGGCCGAGATCCGGCCCCTTGGGCTGGGCCATGTGTGCAGCACAGGCCTGGTGCAGGGGCCCAGGGAAGTCCCGAGGAGGGCGAAATCAGGGTGAGAGGGAGGGGAGGAAGCCGGGGAGCTGGGGCCATGGGTTAGGGGCGGGCACAGGGTGGGCTGGGTGGGGAGAGGCCGGGGCTAGGCAGGTAACAGATGACCCTGTAAAGGGGCAAACCGCCCATGGTGGCTGTGCCGAGACGTGCCTGGGGTTGACAGCTCATGATTTTTCAGAAGTCAGAAATATGGATTTTATGTGAAAGCCCCTAAGCTGTAGCTATTGGGCCAGTTACAAAACACAGCCACACAATAAAGGGCGGACCAAACCAAACAATATCCACGGGCCGTATTTGGCTTGTAGGCCATTCGTTTTCAATGTCCAGTAAGGGGTCGAAAATGCTTGTTGGGAAAAAAAAAAACCAAACTTGGTCATTGCCCGGAATCAGGAAGCCTGGGTTCTAGAGGCAGCTCTGCTCTTCCTTGCTTTATGACCCCAAGCAAATAAATTCACCTCTGCACTCCTCCGTTTCTCTAAAATGCGGCAAGGGGACTAGGTGACCTGGGCCCTCCTAATTCCGTGTCCTGTGATCCGGGTGGGAGGAGGGGCCTGAGCACCACCTGTGTGCTGGGGGTCCCAGGTCTGTGGGGAAGAGGCGGGGTCAGGGCTCTGAGGACCTGGGGGCATGAGGAGAAGGAGCAAGGAGCCACAGTAGGAATGGTTTGGGTGGGGAGCCCTGGGGGGTGGCCAGGACTGGGGCACACTGGTGGGGTGCTGGGGGGGCAGGGGTGCTTACCTCCGGGGTACCGTCGCAGGATGAGCTTCCGGACCTCGTCATAGAGGAAGATGAGGAGGCTGTAGGGGAAGGCGCAGAACCACCAGGTGACCCTGCACCAAACAGAAACAGGGAGCGTGTCGGGGGCACCCCAGGGTGGTCACATAAAGTAGGATCTGAAGACCGGAACCTGGGGCCTGACACACTCACTTGAGCGGGTACATGCGCAGGGCCACCCCCATGCCCGGGCAGTAGGACAGGAAGGCCGCCAGGGCCGTCTCCTCCAGCAGCCCAAAAATCAGAATCTTGTTCCTGGAAAGGCAAAGAAAGGAGGGTAGGTGGTGTCGAAAGGAGGGAGATCCAGGGAGACCCCTGGTGGTGGGAGATACCCGGAGACGGTTATAGACACCGCCCTCCACCCTCCGCCCTCCGTCTTCAAACACCCTCTTCTCCTGCTACACGTAACCAAAGTAGATTTTCTCTACTTTTTCTGCTTACTGATCTCACCTCCGATCGCTGCCTATAACACACATATTCATCTATTACGTAAATGTTTCTAATGTGTTGGCTGATGTGCTCTGTGCTGGAGATGCTGTGGTCAACACAGGCTTCCTTCGCGAGTCATGGGGCTGCCCTCACGCAGCGCGTGGTCTTGCTATGGCTCCAGGCATGTGGTCTGTGTCAGTCTGTGTCGTCTGCCCAGCAAGGTGCTCGGAGAGCCCGTGCATGTCCTGCACATTCTGTGTCTCCCTGGCTCTGGTCGTTGTTGGTCGTAGATATTGAATAAAGAGGAGAATGTTTGTAAAGCACTTAGCAAAGAGGGAGCTGTCCACTCCCTGGAAGGTAAATGCTGGGTGTGTGTCCGCGACCTCAGAACCAAAAGGCAGGACAGAGTAAGGTTCTGAGAGCGGTTGCTGGCGTCAGACAGGCAGAGTCTAGTTGTAAGCACTGTTCCTGCACCTCTCTGAGCCTTGTGGTCCTTCCCTGCGAGGTGGGGATACTACCTGTATGTCATGGGGTTGCTGGGAATAGAACGGGAGATAAAGCATGGGAAGTTCTGGAACGTGCAAAGCGCTCCGTCGAGTTATTACTCCACCTGTTACGACCTCACACAGTGCATGGCTTTATGGCTTGTGCCGGTAGCTCCCGAGCTTGCCACTCACTAAAGGATCTCTCCCATTCTTCTTCGATAAAGACCCCATTTTAATTGATGGTTGTCTCTTCAGCTCTATTTGTTAGTAAGCAATGAATATCACGTCCGCATTTAAAATTAGAAATCAATGCCTTCCAACCAGAGCTGTGTGTTAGCGTGTGATCATGGTCCTTCACACCTACGCTTCAGCCTCAGAGTGACACTTTAGTAAGCCTAGCGGCCCTCTGCTATGGGGCTCATTTCCATATTTGGAGCCTTGCAAACAGCATCTCTGAGCCCCTCGCCGCCGGGCCCCGGGGGTCCTTAGGACCCCTTTCCTTTTCCACTGGCTTTGTGGAGGCCTGGGGTTAGCAGCACTGGTGATTGTTCTAGCACTAACAGTTGTCCGCCTTGCGGTCACCGAGCCATTGCTGAGCACCGACAGGGCCCACACCCTGACCGGCCAGTCGCCCCGTGCGGTCACCAAGAGCTTGGGCGCTAGAAGCAGGCCTGGGTGAACCCTTACAGCTGGGTGACCTCAGGCACCTCATATAACCTTTTTGGGGTCTCTGGTCCATAAAAGGAAAGTAGCACCTACCTCATGGAGCTATTGTGAGGTTCAGTGGTGTGTTTGAATCACAGCACGGTGACTGGCCCGTGGCGACTCACACTCTAAGAAGGCACGAGCCTGCCCCTGAGCAGATCCCAGCCCCCACGAGGATGACACACCTCCACGGAGTGTGGCGGGGGGTGGGGCGAGTGCTGTTAAACTAGAGCTACCTGCCCATGGGGGGGGGGCCCGGGGCCCCCCCCCTAGGGGCAGGGGGGGGGGGGGGGTGATGTTGGCGTGTGAGATGGAGGAGGGGAGGGAGGAGGGAAAAATGGGAGAGGTGTGGAAAGATGGAAAGGAAGGGACGGGGAAGGAAACCTTAAAGCAGTAGATTAGGGGCAAAATTAAAACTCGTCAGAAAAGGTGATGTGACCCCTTCCTCTTCAGACACCTCTTTCAGACGGCCGGGTAGGTGCAATCTGATGCTCTCTCCTCCCAGATGTGGGCCAGGGCGAGGGGGCCCGTGGGGGGGTTGCGGGCTCCCAGAGCGCTCTCTGCTGGGGGGGGGTGCTCACTTCATGCCCTGCTGGAAGACTGAATTGCGCCGGGTCTTGCAGATGATGAGGTCGGCCCACTGCACGACCACAATGCTGGCAAAGAAGGCCGTGTGGCAGGTGAACTCCACCACCTTCCGCTGCTCGTAGGTCTGCGGGGGGCCGGGGGTGGGGAGGGCAGCATGAGCGGCGAGGGGAGGGCGGGGGCAGCGCGCTGGGGGAACTCGTCAAACCCCGGACAAGGGGCGCCCTTCGTGCCCCGCCCCAGCTGGCCCCTCCCCCGGCCACTCCCACCGGCGCCCAGCCCGCCGCCCCCCCCCACCCCGGGCCCGGGCGCCCCCCTCGAGGCCCCACGCACCCACTCTTGCCCATAGCTGTCCTCCAGATCGTTCATGGACCGGTCATCCCAGTCCAGGCGGATTCCCAGCAGCCTCGATGGCAGGAAACCATTCTCCGCCAAGATGACGAAGTAGGTGAAGAAGCCCCCCAGCGCCTGGATCATCCCTGGGTGGGGGGGTGGGCAAAAGGCCGGCCTGGGTCAGAGGAGGCAGCAGTGTGGGACCAGCCACTCGGCCGGAGATGGATGTCCTGGCCCCTTGGGGGGCTGGCCCCTGGCCTGGGATTTCACCGGGGCTCATCCCTCCATCAGCTGGGCAGGGACTTCTCATGGGGTCCGCCCCCACCCGGAGCCCCAGGGCCCCGCCGCACCGATCTGCCCGTAGGCCATGCTGATGAGCCTCTCATTCACCAGCTTGTCCGTCTGGGGGTTCCTCGGCTGTCGCTTCATGATGTCGCTCTCTGCTGCCTCGTAGGCCAAGGAGATGGCGGGGACCTGTGTGCGGGGTGAGTGGGGGCAGGAGGGCAGGGGAAGGGAGCCGACAGGTGCAGAGGATGGTCAGTGGGAAGGAATCTGTGATGCAATCCAGCACTCATTACTAAGACCCTATTATGGCCCAGGTCTCGGGCTTCTGTTCCCTCAACCGTCGCAGGCTGGTCAGCTGCCCTGGGGCTCCTCTCCTTGCCCTGGCCGCCCGCCTCCACCCCCTGCGCCACTCCGAACCCCGGCCTCACCATGTCAGTGCCCAGGTCGATGCAGAGGATGGTCACGGTGCCCAGAGGCAGGGGGATGTTGGCGATGATGAAGAGCAGGAAGGGGGTGATCTCGGGGATGTTGCTGGTCAGGGTGTACGCAATGGATTTCTTCAGGTTGTCGAAGATGAGGCGGCCTGGGGGAGGCCCGGGGACATCAGGGACATGGGAGGCCCCCTGCCCCAGCCCAAGCCCCTGGAGCGTGGCTGCCCGTGTTCCCCAGAGAGGGAGACTCTGTGTTTGAGGGAAGCCAGAGTGGGCTGCAGGTGCCTGGGATCCTGAGGTGGCTCTGCCTTGGGGCAAAGGCCTGGGAAGCGGAGTGTGTGCTTCGGCCGTCCCGGATGCCACCCTGGCCCGTGTGCCCCCTCACCCTCCTCCACGCCCGTGACGATGGAGGCAAAGTTGTCGTCCAGCAGGATCATGTCGGCGGCCTGCTTCGACACGTCGGAGCCCGAGATGCCCATGGCGATGCCAATGTCAGCCTTCTTCAGCGCGGGGGAGTCGTTCACGCCGTCCCCGGTCACCGCCACAATGGCCCCCTGGACGAAGCACAGCCAGAGCGGGGGAGGAAGCCCGTCGAGGCCCCGCCCGGCCTGCCCCGCCAGCCCGGCCCTGCGCCCGCTCACCTGCCTCTGACAGCCCTCCACGATGATGAGCTTCTGCTGCGGGGACGTCCGCGCGAACACGATCTCCGTGTGGTTCTTGAGGATCTCGTCCAGCTGCTCTGCCGTCATGTCCTTCAGGTCAGAGCCGTGCACCACGCACGCCTTGGCTTCCCTGGACGGTGGGGGCAGAGGGGCTGACTCCCTGCTGCCCGCCCGCCCGCCACCCTCTGCCCCCACCGCCGGCCCGCAGGGTCCCCGGGGCTGTGGGCCTCCTCGCCCTCCCTCCGTGGCCCGTGTGTCCCATCTCTCTCTTTGAGGAAGTGAGGCGACGTCCTCACCCAGCACGGTCGTTGCTAGGCAACGTGCTAGTTTTCTTACACACACCTCATCACCCCCGTAGCCACCCTGCAGTGTAGATGCTTCCCTAAACTTGTAGTGGAGAGAATGGTGGCTCAGGACAGTAATGGGACATCTCTGAGGTTGCACAGTGAGTTGGGGGCACAGCCTGGACACACTCAGGACTGAGGAGCTGGCTGCTGAGGTGTCATGGGTACGGCCTGCGAAGGTCCCAGAGGAGCGATCCAAAATATGCCCCCGGGGCCCTGGAGCAGTCTGTGGGACAGCACAGGTTGATCGGAGATGGGGGTGTCCCATGGAGGCCTCACCTGGGGTTGACCTGGCTGACGGGAATGTTGAGCCGGGCTGCAATGTCCTCCACAGTCTCGTTGCCTTCTGATATAATGCCCACACCTTTGGCGATGGCCTTGGCTGTGATGGGGTGGTCCCCGGTCACCATGATCACCTGGTAGCAAGGAGATAAGAGAAAAGAAGAGCAGTATTTACACCCCCTCCCAATCCATTCCTTTCCCAAAGTCAGGGATCCCTGCCAAAATGGTGGAACTGTATGTGTGTGTGTGTGTGTGTGTGTGTGTGTGTGTGTTTGAGTGGGGGACAAATTGTCCTTAGGGAATCAGAGATGCTTTGCTTCAGTGGAGGAAAGCCTCCATGACGAGTAACAAATTGACAAGGGCCTCCTGAAAGAGGATCCTCAGAGATTGGCTTTCATGGGCTACGGGGCTTCTGAGCTGGAAAGACCCCTCACTTACCAATGAGGGACAAAGGCTTAGAAAGAGCCCTCAAGGTTACTGAGCCAGGAGTAGGGCACGTTTTCTTAGTGTCCGCTCTGGTTGCTGCGGGCCATCCAGCCGGTCAGAGTAGGGAGGAAGGGGGCACGGCCCCCTGCCCCCCCAGCCTTCCACCTCCTGTTTCGCTGCCTCTGACACCGCTTCTCCATGTGGCAAGAAGGCAAGAAGGCGATTCTTGCGGAATGGATGGAGTTTGGTGGCGTGGGGGGTGGTTGGCATCCGAGAGGTGGGTTACAAGGCTGTCTGTCATGAGCGTGGGCGGATCAGAGCGAGAGGAAGAGGCATGTGCGCGTGTGGGTCTGTGGGCAAACCTCACGGATACTGAGGAGCAAGCCCCTTCAGGGCCCACTGCCTTCTCTTCCAGCCCCGCCACCCCCCCGAACCTGCCCCCCAAAGGCCACATGGCCCCCCAGTTGAAGGCAAAAGCATCTTTGCAGTGCTCATCCTGCTTGGCCAGGCTGAGTACTTGGCACTGTCCGCCAGCCCCTCCTTGAAACCCGGCCCCACTTGGTCTGCATGGACTCCATTATTTCCAGTCCCCTGGCTTATCCCTGCTCTTTCCTGCTTCCTCCAGGTGGCCGCCAGGGGGAAGGGGGCGGCTGAGGAGTCGGGTGGCGGACCTAAGCTTGAACACCAGCCCTCCCCAGCTGTAGCACCTCAGACAAGTCCTTTCACCGGGTCTCGGCCCCAGGAGGGGACGAGCCCCACCTTCCAAGGTTGTCGTGAGGAGTAAATGGCAGTAGGGGGACGCTCAGTAAACGTGACTCCCCCCACCCATTCCCGGGCTCTTCTCTCTCTACTTGCCCCAAGACTGGTGGCCCCGGCTGCATCCTGGTCCCCCTCCCTGATCCAGGTTCACTAGTGGGTCTTGAACTGCACTCATGTGCTGATGAGCCTCTCTCTCTCCGGTCCTGGCCTCTGTCCTGGGCTCTATGCTTGTGCCAGCTGGGATGTCTCTCCCTGGGTGTCCAGCAGGTGCTTCCAACTGAAGGTCAAAGCTGAGCTCATCATGCGCTCCCACCACCCCACCAAGCCTGCCCTCTGCCCCCAGCTCAACACTGTCCTCTCTCTGCCTTCTGTCCCTTTGTCTCTGCATCTCCCTCGCTCACCATGTCCAGCTTGGTCACCATGTTCTCAAAGTGTTTCTCAGACGCGACTCCTCGCCTCCATCCCTCTGTGGCCGTCCTGGTTCAGGTCCTTGCCTGGACTAGCGCCCCATGACTCTCTCCCTCCCTCCTCACCTCCAGGCCTTCCCCAGATCCAGGCCCTCCTCCACCCGGCTGGCCTCCTGAAAACTGGCTCCCAGAGAGCCACAGGATGAAGCCCAAGTCAGGCATTTAGGCAAAGCCCTTCCAGTTGGCCCTGGCCCAACGTCCCAGTCCCCATCTCCAGTGTTGCTGAGCCCCCCACCCCCCACGCACCTGTACCCCACGTGCCGCCTCACCACGTCAGGACACGCCCTGTCCCTGACCTTGACAGTCTTCCTCGCCCTGCCTTACAAAACACGCCGGCCTTCGAGGCCCGGGTCAAATATCACGTGCTCTGTAAAACATTGTCCAGTTCTCTGAGGCAGCATTAACTGCTCCCTGCTCTGAGATCCCTGGGGGTAGTGTCCGCCGGCCCCCGCAAGGGCTCTGATCGTGGCAAGAGGCAGCCTGCCGGGCAGGAGCACGGCTTTCCACACAGCGGGCCATGCTTCACATACCTGACCCGCCCCTTACTGGCAGGTCTATTTTGGGAAAGCGACTTACCCACTCTGAGTCTCAGCTGGTTTTATTTTTAAATGGGGGTGATGACGCCTACCTCAGCAACAGGGTGATTGGGATTGAGAAATCCCTTACATCCACACGTCTCCACACACGTGCTTTAGTGTGATAGTTAGGAAATGGCAGGCTGCCTTAGTTCAAATCCCGGCTCTGCCACGTACGAGCCTGCTAACCTTTGTGCCCCTGTTTCCCTCTTCTGTTAAAAGGGGAAATACCGGTGTTTACTCATCAGGCTGTCGTGGAGATTCCAGGAGCTCATACAGGTTAAGTGCTGAGCATAGTGCCTGATTCCTATGACTGGCCGTTTGTATTATGACAGCGTCTCGCCTGCAGCAGGTGCTCACGACCCTAGCTATCAGATGGTTCTGTGATTGAGTGTAGAGAGCCCGTGAGCTCCGGAGGCCAGGCACCATGTCTCCTTCGTCTGAGTGTCCCCTGGCCCTCAGCGGGCGGGCAGCTCGAGCTGATGTGGTATCAGCTGAGATGCTGGGAAAAGAAGAGCCAGCCACGGCACTGTGCCTGGCCATGAGATGGGGTAAGGGCCTGGTGCAGAGGGCGTCTTGGAAACAGGAAAGTAGGCTCCAGGATGGACAGGGTTTACGTTTGTTTGTTGAACTCGGGCACCTTGAACGGTGTCTGGTCCACAGGCCGTAAATAATAGGTACTGGCAGAGCGAAGGACAAGTGTGGCAGGAGCGGTCCCTGAGGAGCAATTGCACGTGGACACAAGGACCTCGGAGAGGTGTGTTTGCGGCCCGTTGACGGGGGATGTGAGGAGCGAGTGGGCGCAGACAAGAGGCTGCTCGTCCCACCCCCAGTGGTAGAGAGAGTGGGCACTGGTCGGGAAGGTAGGATGACCAGCTCTCCAAGACACAAGTGCCAGGTGGGCTCGAGATCAGAACAGAATGAGTGGGGGAGAGGATGTGCCTGGTCGCCGACCGGAAGGGACCAGGCGAGAGCTCCAGGCAGGGCCGACCTTTCCTTGCAGAGGGAGGCGGCCACGAGGGGCCTGGACGTCTGCAAGGCAGCAGCCCCCCGCCGTCCCTTGACCATGGGACACCAGCACAGCTGGAAGAGATGGGAGGCTGAGGGGCGTTGGGGAGGGAAGGAGGGGGGAGGCCAGGCCCGTACCTTGATGCCGGCACTGCGGCACTTGCCCACGGCGTCCGGCACGGCAGCCCGGGGAGGGTCGATCATGGACATGAGCCCCACGAAGCAGAGCTTCTCTGTGGGGAAGTTCAGCTCGTCCGTGTCAAACTTGAAGCCCCGAGGAAACTTCCCAGAGGGCAGATTCAGTTGACAAAACCCTGACACGGGCAGGAGGGAAGAGTGAGCCCAGCACGGGGGCTGCCTGGGGGCCCCCAGTGCTTTTGCCCTGGGGCAGCCGCTGAGGCCCAGAGCCCCTGCTCAGCCCCACTCCCTGCCTCTCACCCAGCACGCGCTCCCCCAGCCCGCCCAGCTCCATGTAGGCGTTCTGAAAGGCGTCTTGCATCTCCTTGTCCAGAGGGATCTCCTTGCCCTGCATCAGGATGGTGGAGCAGCGGTCCAGGATGCGCTCCGGGGCCCCCTTCATCACCAGCACGTGGCTCTGGGGGCTGTCTTCTCGCTCGTGGATGGACAGCTGGAGAGAAGACAGGCGGTTACGGAGGGGGCCTGCCAAGAAGACGTCCCCTGATGCACTAACCCCCGGTCCATCAGCTACTGCCGACAGAGGGAGAGCCCGTGTGTGTGTGTGTGTGTGTGTGTGTGTGTGTGTGTGTGTGTGTGTGTGTGTGTGTGTGTGAAGGGGAGTGGGGGCCCCAAAGGCCCAGCCCTGTAACCTGAGAGTCACTTGCCCATAGGACATTCGTCCACCTCACCAGTATTTACCACGGTCAGTTAAGACAGGCACTGTGCTAGGGGCTGGCTGGCCCTCTCACCAGCGACCCACCGCTGTGCTGGCCTCTGCGGGCTTACACAGGATGCAGCTGAGACTGCATTCCTGGCATTGAACAGATGCCTGCAGCCTGGGGGATACCCTAAGGAAATTTCAGAGGTGGGGTTCCCCCCCACAGCTGGAAGGGATGGGACGCTGAGGCCAGAGTCTGGAAGGCGACGGGGTATAGCGAGGAATAGAGGTCTGGAAGTTGGGGGGGGTTCCTTGCAACCAGACATGTAGTCACCCGGGTTTTCCTGGGGGATGAGGCAGGGTGCGGGGCGTGGCCCTCAGATGCCCCCACTCCTTCTAGGGTTTGGGCACCCCCCTCATTTCGGCCCCTTCCCCTGCTCCTGTCCCAGCACCCCAACCAGACCTGGTACTTGTTGGTGGAATTGAAAGGAATCTCCGCCACCTTGGGGTTTCTGTCCCTCATCTTCCTCACGGAGCCGCAGGACAGCTCGATGCACTTGAGCAGAGCTGACTCAGAGGCGTCGCCGGCCGTGTCCCGCTGCCAGAGGAGAATTCAATGTCATGAGGGCCGGGGGGAGCGGAGGACCGAGGGAGGGGGCCCCGAAGCCCCCGAGGCTGCGAGAGGTGGAGCTGGGCACCAGCAAGGCGGGCAGGCCATGGAGGCGCCGCTGACCGCCTACCTTAGACACAGAGATGTTCTCCTGCCCGGCCTTGAAGACAGCACGGTTGCAGAGACCGGCGATCCGAGACAGGGCCGTCCACGTGGGGGACCGTTTGTCAAAAGTGGCCCCTGGGAGGCAGTGGGGGAGAATCAGGAGCGCAGCTCCCCGTTAGAGCCCCCGTCCACTCCCACCCTCCCCGTCCCGCCGGGGCGCCCTTGGAGTGCCCAGTCACCAGACTGATCTTCCGTGGTGTCAGCTTCGTGGATCTGGTTGTCGAACCACATGTGGGCGACGGTCATGCGGTTCTGGGTGAGGGTGCCCGTCTTGTCGGAGCAGATGGTGGAGGTGGAGCCCAGCGTCTCCACCGCCTCCAGATTCTTCACCAGGCAGTTCTTCCGCGCCATGCGCTTGGCGGTCAGGGTCAGACACACCTGGGAGAGAGAAGGGAGGAAGAAGGGCTAAGCCTGGAGCCAGAGGTGCCGTGACCTCACCCCGGACCAGGGCTCTACCCCGCCTTCCTCGATCCCAGTCCGCAAACACCAAGTGGGACCTACGTGTGGGCAGTGAATGTGTTCAATTTCAGACAAGCTGAACTGAGATCATGGGTGTGTATTCAGGTGACAAGTCCAACGGGGACTTGAAGATACATGGCCTGAGCTCCAGAGCGGGCTAGCATAGAGCTGGGCGGAGGGCTGTGCCAGTCTCTCTCCTAGACCGGGCATGAGACTGGGGGGGAGATGGGCTCACTCCAGGGGGCGGGGGGGGGAGGGAGCAGAGTGCGAGGCCTGTGAATCGGGGTCGGGGGAGGAGACCCTGCAGGGGACAGAGGAGCAGAGGAGAACCAGAATAGTGACATGTCACAGTAATCGACAGAGGAGAGAATTCTAGCAGGGTGGACAGCTGTATCCGTTTGTGCAGCAGAGTTAAGGAGGGGAGCTGAGAAAAGGTCACTGGGTTTGCCAGTTAGTCATCGGTGACCTTTGAGGGAGGCTTTGCAGCAGGGTTGGCCGGGACGAGCTGCAGACTGCAGTGGACCGTGCATGGGGGGTGAGAAGGGTGGCCGGGACGAGCTCGGGCAGAGAAACCCCGTGCCGAAGCGTGGCCGGCCCTACCTGGGACTTTCAGGCTCAAACTCGGAGCCGTGTAGTAAACAAGAATGTGACCGGAGATTGTAGGGGCTCGAAGGGAACAAATTGCTGAGATACAATAAGGCTCGACTGCCGTGGAGGAAAGGGTAGCAAGACCTCGCCCGGTGGCCCCTCGGCCTGAGCCACTCACGGTGACGGTGGCCAGCAGCCCCTCGGGCACGTTGGCCACGATGATGCCGATGAGGAAGATGACAGCCTCCAGCCAGCTGTAGCCCAGGATGAGGGAGAGCACAAAGAAAGAGACCCCCAGGAACACGGCCACGCCTGTGATCAGCTGGATGAAGTGCTCGATCTCCATGGCGATGGGCGTCCGCCCCACCTCCAGGCCTGAGGCCAGGGTGGCGATGCGGCCCATCACTGTCCGGTCACCTGTGGCGATCACGATGCCCCTGGCCGTGCCTGCAACACAGAGGGGAGCCCGGCTGCTCGGAAGAGGAAAACCACCGCGGAGTAGATGAGCCTCAGACTGGGGTCCTGTGGGCCACCCTCCCAAGACTGGACCTGCCATGGCAGGGCTCTCCCTGCACAGACCTCCAGGCCCGGACTCGGGCAACCACAACTCATCCCCCCTCTTACACTCGGGCCCGAGGAGAGACCTTGCACATAAACTCGGAATTCAAATCGAGGAGATGCAGGCAGTGAAATCAAAGTACCGCCTGAAGAGCTCAGTAAAATCTGTCTCCTGCTTGTTAGGATCCCCAAAGCATCTAATGTTATGGATTTTCCGTGTGGTCTTAAGATTTTCTTTCTCAGCGCTGGGCCTGGAGACTCCTCAGAAGAAGCCAGGCAATTGCTGAGGCTTATGTAGACACTCGGGGCGGTGGGGGCGGGGTGTGGGATGAAGGAAAGAGCTCGGGTGTGGGAGCCAGGCAAACCTGGGTTTGCACCCTTGTTTGGATTCCCGCCCGGGACTGCTTTCATCAGGAAACGAGAGAGGGCTGTGGCACACCTGACCGGTGCCTGGCGCATATTAGCTGCTCAAGAAATGTTGGTTCTATTCATTTCTTCTCCTTTCTCCAAAGCCAATTTCAGAGAACGCAATGCGAGTATTTTACTAGGCGTTTTTACCGATTGTGGGAAATGTCGAGCAAATTTTAGAATCTCAGTACATTACAAATTTAAGATATCTAATGTGTGGTGATTTTCACTGTAACTCCAACTTGCTAGAGGAGAGGAATAGCCGGGTGAGGGGTGCCTGGGTGGTTCAGTCGGTTGAGCGTCTGACTCTTGATTTCCACTCAGGTCATGATCTCGGGGTCGTGGGGTCAAGGCCCGTGTCAGGCTCCACGCTCAGCGTGGAGTCTGCTTGAGATTCTCTCTCTCCCTCTCTCCCTCTGGCCCTCCCCTCCCCACGTGCTCTCTCTCTCTCTAAAATAAATAAATAAACCTTTAAAAAAAAACGCTCACAGAGACATAATACGCCAAGGAGAATGAGAATCGGGAAGGAAAGTCGTGAAGGTGGGGCACATGGCCTCCTCCGGCCCTGGTTCCAGGCCCGAGGTTTAGCCAGACCTCCCTCCCCACCAGCTCTCACTGTCGGCCCTCTCAAGGCCTTGCCACAGAGGGTATGGATTTCGGGTGGGCTTGGTATCCTGCCCTTACATGGTGGCAGCTCGGGGAGCTCTTGATGGCCCTCACTCATCTCCAGGACCCAGAACAGAGATGGAGTGCACTGGGCAGCCTGGAGGGGGGCCCCCCCTGTTCGCCGGGCCTGAGCCTCCCCAGCCTGGTCACTGGTCAAAGCAAGGGTGGGACAGGGAAGCAGCTAGTCCCAGAATCAGAAGACATGGGAGGAATCAGTCAAACCAGTGACTTCTAGGAGTCAAGAGGCATGTGTGTGTTGTATATTGTGTGTGTTTGTGTCTGTGTGCCTACGTGTTGTGTGTTTTGTGCATTGTGTGTGTGTGTGTGTGTGTGTGTATGGAGGTCTTGGCCCAGTGTCTGAAGGCTTTGGGATCTTCTCAATCTTGGCGTAGACAGAAAATAGATCTTCCTGTGGGGAGGTAACTTCCACAGAGTCAGACCACCCCAGCCAATGGTATTCAGGGCCCCCTGGTCCCCCAGTCCCCTTCCAAGTTAGCACAACCACAACCCCCAGTCCTGTCTGGGGGTTCAGGATTTAGACTCTTCCTTCAGTCGGGGCTGGGGTAGGGAGCTTCCCAACCGGCCAGCTTCTCACCTTCCACACAGTTGGTAGAGAAGAAGCAGATGTTGCGGGTCTCCAGGGGGTTCTCATGGGTGAACTCGGGGGAGCGGGTCTGGGGCTCTGATTCGCCCGTTAGGGATGAGTTATCCACCTGAGGAGGAAGCAGGCGTGTAGTCACCAGCGGGCAGTCACATGGGTGCACACACAGTTGTCCCCCGGCTCCGACCACACTCCACCTCCATGACATGAGGGACAAAATTACACTTGTGCTCATCACGCATTTATAGCATTACTCAGCTATTGTCCCTGCTCTGGTTTGGCATCCTGGCTCTCACTGAGTTCTTATGTGACCTCGGGCTGGTTACTTAACCAACAAAACCACCATTTGCTCATCTGTAAAACGGGGAATGTAAGGGGCATCTCTGCATTATACAACCCCGGGGGCGGGGGGATGCCTCTAACCCAAGAGCCTAAGAAAACGGTGCGGTCTTGGGTTGTGCATGGTGCCATCGGTGACCACGTATGACAGCACCGCTCGACACTGTTCTTGCCGAGGGACATCAGAGAGCTACGTGGATGCATGATGAGCATCTGACACATGGTGATACCCACTGCCGATTGCCATAAACTGGCTATCAGAGACGTCCCGGGCCACAGGGCACGCCCAGCACACAGACACGAGGGGGCGATCCATAAACACTACATGGGAGACGACGTTGGGCTGGGCGGCGTAGGGGCAGGCATTGTTATTGGACCTGGGCCTCCCAAGCTTCCCTCCTCTCACTGGGCCCCTCCCAGCTCCGTAGGGCCGGCCAGCTGCTCTGGCATGGCCCCCTCACCTTGCAGCCATGAGAAGAGATGATCCGGAGGTCTGCTGGCACGCGGTCCCCTCCCTTCACCTCCACCAGATCTCCCACCACCACCTCCTCTGCGTTGATCTGCATCTTCTCTCCTTCCCGCACCACAAGGGCTTGCTGGGGGGTGGGAGGGGGACGGGCATCTCATGAAAGGCTCGTCCTTCTGCCACCTTCCTCCGCGGCTGGCCTCCCACCTCTCCCAACCCTCCAGGAGGACCCTGTGCACACCGGGCAATACAGCTAGGCCCCGGCATGGAGAGCGGGAGGGTCGTTTCTGCCCACGCCTCCATCTCAGAGCGCAAGGAGCTCAGGAGAAGGAGCTGGGCTCCCCCAGAAACCTTGTGCCCCGGCCCGGAGCCCCACCCGGCTGTCTACCTGAGGCACCATGTTCTTGAAGGAATCCATGATCTTGGAGCTCTTGGCTTCCTGATAGTAGGAGAAGCAGCCGGTGACGATGACCACAGCTGCCAGCACCACGCCCAGATAGAGCTGGGAAGGAGAAAGGGTTGAGGCACCTGCCCTTCTCCCAACCCTGGAGGGGCGCCTGCCCCTCAGACGGGCATTCGGGGACTTTGTCTGGGACTGGGGGTGACAGTGGCAGAGGAGAGCCCTTCTCCCCAGCCTCCCCCTCAGTCTCCTGAGAAAGGGAAGGGGCAGGGGAAATCGCAGGGAGTTCCCAAGACTAGGCCTTCTCTAGGGGGTGAAGCCCCACAGATCCAGACAAACCCACTTAGGCGTGAAGGGACAGGGAGGGTCTGTCTCATTCGGGAATGTGTGTGTGTTGGGAGGTGTTTATAGATATACAGAGAAGCCTCACCCCTTCACAGCCTAAAGAGCAGAGGGGCCTGTGGGGCTGTGACGGGAGGCTCCTTCCCCCTGCCCCCACCGTACTGGGATCCAGGGTTGGAGGACAGAGTGACGGGCCGGTGCAGGGCTCAGGCGTGCCCACTCACGTTGTCGTTGGATGGTTCATCCTCCATGGCAGCCTGGATGCCGTAGGCCAGGAAGCAGAGGATGGCCCCGATCCACAGCAGGATGGAGAAGCCCCCGAAAAGCTGGCGACAGAACTTGACCCACTCAGGGGTTGTCGGGGGCGGGGTGAGGGCATTGGGCCCATCCCGAGCCAGAATGTCCTGGGCCCGCTGGTTGGTGAGGCCCTGAGAGAGGCGGGGAAAGGAGTGTGAGCGGGTCTCCGGAGTCGTCCGCTCCTCACTGCTTCCCACCAGCTCCTTGGCAGGGGAGCAGTGTCCATGCACAGAGAAAAACCCCACCTGGTAGGAAGGGGCAGGGGGACCATCGGGAGAGACCACACAGAGGAGGTGGCATTTGCCACGGGTATTGGGGGCCTTGAAGGCTGAGGAAGATGCAGAGTGTGACCCCTCCTGTGGTCGTCCTTGGATTGAGACCCCTGTGGGTTAGGACCACAGGATCTCCTCCAGCGGCAGCCTGGATAAGGCTCCCTGGAAAGACATTCCTCTTTTCAGCAAGAATTCAAGAAGAGGCCACCACGACGGACCTTCAGTGTCTCACAGCTTTGGTAACTGTCTGTCCCCTTCCCCAGAGAGCCTGGCCTGGGCGTGGTTCAGATGTCCCCGTGGAGCCCACACGTGGCGGTAGAGCTGCACTCCGCGTGGCGCATGGGAACGCTAGACCATGTTCTTTTCTAGACTTGGAGCTCCTCGAGGGCAGAGGTCACTTAATTATCTTTCTATCTGTGCACTCATTTATTAGTAAATGTGTATCGAATGCCTATTGCCTGCTGAGCTCTGTTGCCAGTTCTAGGGATCCAGAGGAGGACAAGACCCACAAAGCCCCCGCCTCGTGGAGCTTATGACCCTCGTGGAGCTTATGATGTGACACACAATAAGTAGATGTCCCTGCCAGATCACCAAGAAAAGTAGAGTACGGTGAAGGAATGGGGGGCAGAGAAATTTCAAAAGGGAAGTCAGGGAGGGCCTGCAGGAGGAGGTGTGCACCCACTACGGTTTTGCTTGATGCTGCCTTATCTTTCGAAACGATGGGCTGGGTAACCTGACTGTGCCCCTCCCTATTTATTTCTGTGACGTTGGGAAGCTCGTCCCCCTCGCTGAGGCTCCTGGCTGTAACGGACAGGTGTACAACAGCCACGTCACAGGTCTCGTGAGGGTCAGGAAGTGTACGTAAACACCCGTCACCGCATAGCACGCACAGTGGGGCTACCGTGAGAGCGGGGGGGGTTACCTCACCGTTTTGCGGGTGTCACTTCCCTGGGATGTGTGTCACCGGAGCTGCCTGGGGCAGGGGAAAAGCTCTGCCTGGAGCCTCCCCCCCCGCCCCAGGCCTGGCTTCCAGGTACACAGCAAAAGAGTTATTACCTAGGAAGCAGGGGATCTGGGTTCTAGTCTTGGCTCTGCCCCAGCTAGTCACACGTCTGTGGGTCTCAGTTTCCTCATGCGCACAGAGGGTGGGATTATCCACCCGGACGCCGCGTGGCTCTCTCGGGTCTTAGGCACCCTCCCTGACGGCCCGTCCACTCACCTTGGATAGGTCCACTTGGTATTTGCGGCCCAACTCATCCAAGGACAGCTTGTGGTCGTCCTGGGGAGGGAAGTCGAGTTACTCCGGGGCGGGAGGCCGGGCGCTGCCTCTAGAACGCGTGTGCGGGCCGAGGGGCACAGGGCTGAGGCAAGGGGCACCGGAGCGGCGGCCTGGCTTCTCCGGGTGTGCTGGGCTGTGGGGACCCCGTTTCCACGACCCGCTGGGCAGGCTGTGGCCCTCACCATGGCCACCTCCTTCTTCAGCTCATCCAGTTCCTTCTCTTTCTGCTTCTTCTTGCCACCCCCATTCTCTGCAGTGGTGGCTGCAGGCGAGTACTCGCGGCCGGCCTGCAGGGGTGGGAAGGGAGAACCCCGAGAGTCAGGGAGGCTGGAGACTGGAGCCTCTATTCCCACGGACAGGCCGGGAGGGCAAGCGCTGCGCTGGGGGTGCCGGATGCAAAGGCAGCGACCGTTCCAGGGGAGGAGAGGGTGGAGGGTGGAGGGGACTCCGGGCCCTCAGTTTGCAAACTAGTCACAGGGCCACGGGCTCTATGTTGGAATTTCAGGGAAGGCCAAGGGGCTCAGGACTCAGTACCCCACTCTTGGCTATTTATGGTTGGGCTTCTGCTAAGGTTTTGCTTGTTGAGAAAGCCCTGCCGCTAACAAAAACTTTAAAAACCACCCTCCTACACTATTTAGAATTCTGCAAGGCGGTGGGGCCAGGATTGGGGGCCGGCTTGAGGTAGAAGCACCTGTAGGAATGGCTTTGTCCCCAAGCCATGGCCACTTAGAGAGGAGTAGAGACAGCTGGGACTCGGGGGGAGGAAGAGTCTCTGGGGAGTCAGGGGTCAGGGTAGGGAAGGGTGCCCTTCTTGTTGGCCAGCCTGCCTGCACCCGGGCAAGGGGCCATTTGCACAACTTGAGGCCCCAAGGCACAACTGGGTAAGAAGGCAAGTGGGCCCCGTTTGTCCAAAACATGAGAATGTGTCTCTGAGAATACTAGGGTGTGTGTCTTCTCAGGTCCTGGCGTTCCTGGGGCCTCTGGTGAAATCAAGGGAACATTTTCCCTGAAGCCTTGTGAGGCCCTGCGACCCCTTTCCTCGCCTCAGCCTGTGGTCTCCTCACCACCGCCAGGCTGCCAGGGGCCACCAGGAGCCAGCTTCTCTACACTGTGGGGTAATTCAGTTTTTCATGAAGACTGGACACCTGCGGGCGCCCGGGTGGTGCAGTCGGTTGAGTGTCTGACTCTTGGTTTCGGCTCAGGCTGTGATCTCAGGGTCGTGGGATCGGACCCCACATGGGGCTCCGCGCTCGGTGTGGAGTCTACTTAAGACTCTCTCTCCCTCTGCCGCTCCCTGCCTAAAATCAATCAATAAATCTTAAAAAAAAAAAAAAAAAAAAAGACTGGACACCTGGATGGGATCTACAGCCAACGTGTTGGTCCTTTTTTACAGGATAGTGCGCATTTTTTAAAAGTAGACTTTTCTTTTAAAGACGGTTTTAGGCTCACAGCAAAATTGAGCAGAAGGTACAGAGAGTTCTCATACACCCCCACCCCCATATGTCAACCCCATTGTCAACATCCCCCCCGCCCCAGAGTGGTGCCTTTGTTGCAATCATGAACCTACACTGACGCATCATTATCACCTGAAGTCCATAGTTGCCATAAGGGCTCCCTTGTGGTGGTGTCCACTCCATGGGTTTGGACAAATGCACGCATACTGGCCTGTATCTATTATGGCACCATCCAAAGTGGTTTCACTGCCATAGAAACCTGTGCTCTGGGACAAGGCATTTTTTTTTCCCATCAAAGAGTCAGGCGCAATCCCAGGAATGTGGCAGTTGCCCTCATCTGACGAGATCATGAGTCCAGCACCTGGAGAGGTCTGACCAGTGAGATCAGGAACAGGGCGGGGGGCTCAGTGAGAGTTGGACACCATTGTCCCCTAGACACTAAACCTTGCATTTGTTTCCCTAGGGAGCACCCACGAGTCAAGTATACCTTTGGCTTCCTGAAGGCTGATCAGCCTGGGGAGACTGAAGCAGCCCAACTGAAGGAATGGAGGAGAGCTCATGGGAAGGTCTCCGTCTCCCTCTCCAGGAGACCTAAGGAGGCTCCTTTAATCGGAGAGATTGAAATGCTTTGGGTTCACCAAGTCTCTTGTTGGTGGAACAGAACTGCGGAACGGATGAAAAACCCCAAAAGGACCAGAGGCAAGAAATCAGGCCAGACAGGCTTCAAGGTGACCCTCCAGAACTTCTGGGGCAGGAACGGGGGCCTGGGCATACAGAGGCGGGGGGTGGCTGGGCTGGGGCAGAGGAGCAGAGCCCAGAGAATTTCTGTACATTCCGACATGAATTAAAGTTTGTGAAAATTAGAACCAAATCGCCAGCCTGTGTGCCTGGGGGAGGTTGCACCGTGGCCGACTGAGCAGCTCCACACAGCATCCCTTCCCCTGAGCGCCCACCCTGTTCTCCCCAAGGCGGGCGCAGAGCTCGGGACACACTGCCCCTTCCCCCTCTTGTCCTGGCAAGGATCTCAGGCTCTGCAGCCAGGAGCCTGCGGAGATTTGGGGCCAGCGGGCTGCCCAGGCAAGAAAGAAAGAGAGGAAGCAAGGACCCCCCCCCTCTGCGGCACCCCCCCAACCACGAGTCCCCCTCTCTGGGTCTTGAATGCTGAAGGAGAACAGAGAGTTCTTTCTGAGAGAGCCAGAGGCTGGGACCGGGGGGGGGGGGGGCAGCTGGAAATCAGCCACGCTCCCCCCACCGCAGCCTCGTGGTGGCAGCTGGAGCGGGTTGGGCTCCCTCCCACCAGAGCTGTCCCTTCCCCCAGCTCCCACGCTGCCCTTCGTGACCACAGAGTGCAGGGTGACAGTTGCGCCGAGCTTTGTAGTGCAGATGTAGGGGAAAGAGACAGAGATGGAATGAACCCTTGCAGGGGTGCAGCGGGCAGGGGTGGGGGTGCTTTCCCTTTCCAGGACTCTCCTGGTAGGTTGAACTCCAAGCTCCCACCCTAAGACCCCCGATTTCCCCCAGCCTCTCCATCCAAGCAGAACCAGATCCGCTCCCCAACCTGCCGTTGCTTGCACACAGCCACTGGGGTGGGGGTCAGGGGGCTTCAGGGCTGCTGGGGGGAGAAGCAGAGACCCAGGCAGCTGGGGTCCCTCGACGAAGTAAAGGTCAAATTGCTTCCCAAGCAGGACCTCGTGAGCTGGGCCTCCCCGGTTCTGAGGTGGAGCAGAACCCCTGGTTCTCGGTACTCGGGGTGGGGGCTGGTGGAGGCCAGCCTGGCCTCTCCTCCGAGTCCCGCACAGCAGAACAAGAGATGCCAGGGTTCAGCTGCGGGTCCTAAGATGGTCTGTCTTCCCGTGGGTGTGACTTCTTCCTTCGTGAGCCCACACGCAGACCTCGCTCATCCACACGCAGGGACATCTGTCTCACCCATGCTGGCGGGCCTGGATGCTCCCAGATGTGTCTGCCCAGGCACACCCAGGCGCTCACCCAGGAGTATCTCTATCGGCTCCAGCCTATGGAGAACACGTGTGTCGCAAGCACGTGTACACACACACACACACACACACACACACACACACACACACACACCGGTTCTATTTATAGCTTCTACCCCAGCGCAGAACCCTGGTGTCCAAGCTCGGAGTTTTCCCAGCTGCTAAACACAGTGCAATAACATGTCCCTGCCTGACCCCTTCCTGGGCCCAGAAGCTCCCCCACAGCTCCCCACAGGCACCCCCTTTCCTCAGCACCCTCCTGGCGCTCCCCAGACCCTTTGCCTCAGCCAGCATTCCACAAAAGGAAAGCAATCAGGCGCAGTGTGTAAGGGATTGGGTGACTTTTCTCCATATGGAAATTTCATTTCCAAGTATTCGGAGCCTGTCCCTCCCCCCCCCATCCACGGTTGTTAATCTTCCCCTTGGCATTCCCAGGGCTGCAGAATGCTGCGGGCAGGGGTGGGCTGAGGGGGTGCGGGCAGCTCTCACCAGCTTCTGGGAAAGTGCTCACAGCCCAGGGCCACGGAGGGGCAATCCTGCCAAGGCTTCGGGAGAGGTGCTGGGCTGGGGCTGGGGTGCACATTGCTCTTCTGCCCCACAGCCCTCCCAGCTGCCGGCACTCAGGGACCCGAGAGCTGGTGTCGGAACCGCTTGGCGACTTGGGAGCCATGCCCCGTGGCCTCTCCAACCTTAAACTGGACCCCCGTCTTCTCGGGCTAGGACTGCCGCAGGAATGGATTTTTCGGGGGGATGGCACAGGAGGGGAGCATTAACAGGGCCAAGCTCCCTTCGGCTGGCATGCTCGGAGGTGCGGTGAGGGAGGGTCTGTCTGAGATGTGGGAGACACAGGGATAGAGAAGCAGGGTAGGGTGGAGGGCTCGTCCTGGGGAGCGGGGAAGCAGAGCGCATGTGGGCCCCTGAGTGCCATGGACCTGTGGACTGAGCACGCGTTTGTAGCTGGGAGACTATCAGTCCAAGTGCACGCTGCCCCATAGCCTGGCTTTTCTCTGCCCCTCCCTCCCCCAGCCTCCCTCACCCTCCAGAGAGCCCTCCTCCTCCCTACAGAGCGACCCCTCTCTTTGGGATACTCACCCCACGGCCCATCTTGGGGCAGAGTGGCTGAGGGAACCTGGACTGGACAGGTCACTGGGAGGATCCCCAGCCCACACCTCTGGTCTGGGATGGCCAGAGACCCCAGCAAACAGACAGAGCCGGCAGCAAGCAACAGGGTAGCTTTAAATAGGTCCCTCTCCCCCTCTCCCCCGCCTTCCCCTCCTCGGGAAAGAAACGTTTGTTGAAACAGGATCCCTGAGGACTCCTCCCCTCCCGCCCCTTAAGCAACAGGCGGGCGGACCATGGACAGTCCATTTGTCCTGCTGTGTGCTCCCCTCGGCTCCCCCCATCCTCCCCTGGCCCCTGGCAGCCACGACCAAGAGACGCGAGTGGCAAGGCTGGGGCTGGAACTGTGCCCCTTGGGGACAGGCTGGGGGACAGTGGCCACAGCACCCCGGGAGGCCGGGGGCCGTGTGGTCCCACTCTTTCTCTTGTTTTCCTGATGGAGAAACTGAGGCCCACAGAGACAGACAACTTGAATGGATAAAACAGAGCCAGAATTCAGGGCTCCTGACTCCCAACCTCCCAGAGAAAGGAGCAGAGACTGTTCCCTCTACGTAGAGATCGTGGGGACACAGAAACCGGGAAAAGTAGTTAGCCTTGGAACCCAGGGCTGCCCTTGTATAGGAGGCGCCCCAGAGGGTGGCTCAAGAGACAGCATGAAGTCTGGAGATGGAGGGGGAAAGGGTCTCCACAAGCCCTCCAGCTGAAGACGCCTTTCCTGAGTTTGAGAACATGACTCCGGGTGGGCCAGGGAGGCGGCCGGGGGAGGGATAGGCAAGCAGGGGTACAGCCCTGGAGCCAGCCCAGCCGACATCCATGCTGATAGAGCTCTGGTCGCGTTCACCCCTTGTTACCGAGCGGACACGCCACTCCCGTGCTCTCTGTTGAGGGGCCCCAGGCTGGCGCTGAGCCTGTGGTTGGCAGGTGGCTGGGGAGAAGCCAAAGAGAGGAAAAGGCAGTTTCTCAGAGGTGTGTGGAGGTCAACGTCAAAGCAAGTGCCAGGCCCGGGAACCAGAAAGGAGCTGGTTGCCTCCTTCTTCCAGTGGTGAGGGGAAGGCTAGCTAATCTGCAGCATGCAGGCCCCAGGTTAGACCGTAGAGATGCAGGTCCGAGGTGAGACCGAAGAGCGGTCTCTCTGCAGTGAAGCCCCGGAGAAGCTGGAAGAAGTCCCTGGGAGTGGGGAGGGGGCCTCGGGGCTGGAAGGGACGTCTGTGACCTTATACCAGCTGGGAACAGGGGTAGAGAAGAGCTGGAACGGGACCGTTTAATAAAAAAGCCAAAGCATGAGGGGCAAAGAGGGGGAGGGGAGACCAGCAGGGGCAGAGGGAGAAGAAGAACTTCTGCCCCGCCATCCGGGAGCAGTAGGAGTTCAGGATTCTCCTGCAGTGTCCCCACTTCTCTGGGCCCAGAGATGCCGGAGTGGAGGGGAGCCAGTGCGGCGGGGGGCCCGTCTGAGAGCCCTGAGCCCCGAGAAGCTAGGAGGAAAGGAAAGAGGAAATGAGACCGAGGTGCCGCTTACTCTCGGGCCCCAGAGGGAACTCCCTACAGAGGGATTATCGACCTCTCCAGTAAACCCACTCTCAGGGCACAGGGCTCAGGCTTGAATGCCCCAAATAACTGGCCCCCTCCTGTGCTTGGGATTTTCCATTACAGGGATCCGGGAGGTCACATCCCGCTTCCGCCCTCCTTCTCCTCTTGGGTTACAGCTGGAGGGATGGGCGGGATGGGGGCAGACACCTTCTGTCCTTGGGCCCCTTGACTGACCTTGAATTTTTAGCCTGGGGGACACCAGGCAGTGGGAGAAGCAATAAGGGAAAAGCAGATCCCAGTCCAAGCCCTGGTGTGGACAGGAGAGAGAGAGAGAGAGAGAAGCTGACGAAGACACAGCACGGAGGCTTGTGGTTGGACGTTAGGAGAGACGGCCCAGGGAAGAGGTCCCTGCAGGAATAGCCCGCAGGTGGCTGGGGTGCACAGCAGCGGGGCAGCCCAAGGGCAGCCTTGCCCTGGACTTGGGGGGCGGGCGGTGAGAGTGCCATGCGGGGCGTAGGGGGCTCCTCTTCCTTAGTTCTGGGCTTGGAATCGCTTCCCTGTGCCCCACGCGCTCCAGGGTGCGAGATGAGAGGGGGAGAGAAAGCCGCCCAGAGCCCGCGGGGCGTGTGAGTCTCAGGCCCCCGGCCCCCGGTTCTCACTCCCCCACCCTCACCCCCGCCGGCACCGCCCGGTGCGGCCCAGTCCTTCCGAGGCCCTGGCTCTGGTCCCGTGGCCAGGGCCATACCGGAAAGGACTGGGCCCTCCCTCTGCCCATCCAGGCCGGTGGCGGCTCTGGCCATACCTGGCCCTGGGGCTGGAGTGTGGCCCCAAGGGCGATGCTGTGCACACATTTGGGGCTCAGACAAAAGAAAGGCTGGACAGGACACCCCGGGGCCCATTCCTCGTCCAAACGTCCCTGACCATCCTCCCTGCCTGGGCGAGAGGCCCTGGGAGTCTACCTCCTTCTGCTCCAGCGTGGACCTCAGACTCCAGGACATCAGTGGGGTGTACGCTACTGGTCCCTTGACCTGGGGGCCTGGGCTGGGCCAGGGCCTGTGAAGACAGCCAGCGGCCAATTTGGATCAAGGGCCTGGAAGTACGAGGGACAGAGCAGAGAGCAGGGAAGACTTGAAAGCAGGAGGTGGAGGGCCGGGCCTGGCTGGAGAGTGGGTTTGGGAGAAGGGCAGAGGTCGGTGAGGATGGGTGGTCCTGAGTCAGGTGTTTGGTTGGCACAGGGGGACGTGGGAAGCAGGGGTGCGTGTGCGCGTGTGTGCGCGCGTGTGCGTGAGTGTGTGCGTTATGACTGAGGGGCACGACTGGGTGGGGACCGGAGGCGGAAGGGGTGGTGGGAATGTACCACATGGAAATTCAGAAGGAGGAGCTCCGCGCCACCGGAGAGGCCAACACTGGTTTGGACGTGCGGTCCAGCTAGTAAAGACAGAGCGTCTGCGTCCCCGGCGCGTCGGGTCGTGTGAGCGCGCGTGCGCGGGCAGGGCCAGCGCGGTGTACGTGAGCGTCCCTGGGAGAAAGTGTGTGCACAAGGGGGTGGGGAGGCCGCTCGGCTGCAGATGGGCCGTCAAGGTCTCCCAGAAACAGTTTTGTTTCCTAAGTGACTAGCCTCCTGGGGCCTTCGGCCCAGACTTGAAGGTTGTTTCAAGATCATGAAAGGGAGTGGGGGAGGGAGGGGAGATGGAGGGACGCTTGGGAGGCTCTGTCCCCCCCCACCGTCCCTCCTCCGCCCCTCACTCCACTTCTCTGCTCCAGTCCCCATTTTGGGCCCCGCTCAGCCGTTCTCCTCTGAGGCCAGCCCTCTCCAGGGACCTCCCTGTCTTGCCCTCTTCCATCCCCTGAAAGATTCTTCCTCCCTTTTCCAGGGCCTGGGCTCTTGTCCCCCCCACCAGGCTTCCGGGGCCTTCTTGGGAACGGAAGGAATTTTCCCCTTCTAAGGGGGGACAGGCCTGGGGGGGGGGGCAGCATGGATGGGAAACCTGGAAGGGCCTGGGGTGGCCATGACAAGCGTCCAAGAAAGGTCCCTTTCACTTCCCTTCCTGTTCAGGCCTCTCCTCTCACTTCCCGTAGGTGGCAACGACCTTGTGGTAGAATGGGTGGGCTCAGCGCCACAGAGTGCCTGTCTGAGGCCTGCTGCTGCCGCCTCCGCTTCCCCACTGGACCACAAAGCCAGTGTTGGACTTTCTCTCCGTCCCTCCCTTGATGCCTGCTCCTCTGTGTTCTTTCTGGTCTTCCTTTCCAATCAACTCGAAATAGATTCTAAGACCCTCTTTCTCGGGCTCTCTTTGCTTCGGTCGTCTTTAATCTTCCCCCCAGATGATTTTTATTATCCTTTTTATTGTTAACACCATATTATAAAGGAAGAAAATGGAGGTGAGAAACGCCAGAATTGTCCTCCATCTCTCTGCCTTGGCTCCCGTCCCGCCTCTCTTTGCCCTCCGCCTGCTGTCTGGGTTTGGACAGCTCAGGGTGCCCGTGCCAACCCTCCTCCCCAAGCACGGTGGCCCAGGCACACTCTGTCCTCCCACATGTCCTGCCTGCAGTCCCTGAAGCTGGTCCTGCTGGGCCCGGGCTGCGGAGTGACCTGGGATCAGAGGCGCCCTTACTCTAGCCTTGCTCCTTCCTCTGAAGAACAAGAAGCAGGCCTGGAAAACCCGACAGCCCCCAAATTCCAGGTTACCTTCTCTTCAGCTCGTGGCTCAGCTCAGGTGAACAGGAGAAATTACGTGTAGTTGCATCTGTGCCATAACTCACCGTCCGGAAACCGGGGTTCAGAGGGGGAGCTGAGGGGACAGGTACCCCTATTTTGTTGATCAGCGTGACCCACAGAAATGAGTGCGATCACTTTGACTCTTGGCACGGAAGGAGGGAGGGGCTCAGGGTTGCGCACGGATTACCTGGTTTCTTACCAAGAGCCCCTGTGCGGGGTGGGACAGGGAGGAGGGCAGGGCTGGGGGTGAGGCCGCAGAAACCTGACATTTCTTGGCTGGCATTTGATCAGCAAATACCAGATTAGTCTGTTTCCAGAGATTCTTTGGGCTGGAAAACTATGTTCGGGGTGATGGGGTGCATGGGGTTAATGGACCTTGCTGAGTTTGGGGGTCAGGGGTCACAGCTGGGCCCTCCAGGGTTCCTGTTTCCTTTGATTCCAGCCGGGCAGGGAGGGAGAGGCCCTCCAGCCCCCCTGAGGCAGGTTTGCTTTGGCCAGAGATCTGACCCAGCCACTGGCCCAGAGCACCCCGCCTCCCTGTTCCCCCTCTCGAGAGGCAGCCTGGCGCCCAGCCTGCCCCTTCCCACCTCCTGATTCCCCTACCAGGCCCCTCCACTTGGCCCAGGATGCGACTCTGTGGGTCTGCCTGTCCCCGCTGGTGTTCCGGACGCCTGGCCAGGATAGGATGCCTTGCAAACATCTGGCACAGGGGGCCCAGCCTTGTTCCCACATAAGGAGC